ATTAAGGTAATTTTAAGTCTCTAATGCTCCGGCTAGTGAAAATTGGCATATCGAGGGAACTATCAGGTGCTGTAGAGCTATTATCTTTTCCTTCCTGCTGTTCCTTAATGATCACAGGAATCAGCGAAGAACTTTGTCATGGTGGAATTCATGTGCCATGAATTTCTATAAGAAGGACATGTAAGGAGGTTTTCTTTTCATTTTCCAGTTTGGGAAGTTTCTTCCAACATACAGTTTAGCAAAGTGCAAAACGGATTAACTGCCACAGGTAATGCAAGGCCTGCTTATGGAGTCAATTATTGATTATTCTGTGGCTTGGAATTTTTGTGACTTTCTCATTTTAGTGTTCGAGCTAAAAAGACAAGAAGCTAATAAAGCATGTGGGATTCCCATGGGCAACTAGTTGACAACTCTGAGAACAGAGTGCTGGACTCGATGAGCCTTTGGCTTGCTCATTCAGGGCTCGTCTTAAGGGCAACTGGGTAGCTCAGTTGGTAGAGCATGAGACTCTTAATCTCAAGGACATAGGTTTGAGCCCCACATTGAGCAAAAAGATTCCTGCACTGCAAGAGGTTGGACCAGATGACCCTTGTGGTCCCTTTGTTTGTGCCCCACACCTTCCCCACATTGTATGAGAGGGTTGGGGGAACCCCAGAATATATTTAGGGGGCACATAGGGAACGGGCAGAGTCTCCCCTGTGCTGACAGAACCATGACTTAGTGCTGCTTTGGATACAACCCCATTTGATGAACAAAGATTTTTATAATTGAATGACAACATCATTTTAAAACAGTTAATACAGATGGGACATTTATTATTATTATTATTATTATTATTATTATTATTATTATTATTATTATTAAATTTTATTTATACCCCGCTCTCCCCAGCCAAGACTGGGCTCAGGGCGGCTAACACTGGTATAAAAACAATTGATTGAAATACAACTTAAAAACAAGATTAAAATATAATATTAAAATGCAGCCTCATTTCAGGAACTCAAATCAAAAACCTTTTTGGGGATGAAAAGGTCAAGTCTTCACCAAGGCCAACTATCCAGACTGGTCCTACGTGGGCCAGAAAAAAGCCAGGGAAGTCCCCAAATAGGAGTTCCATCACAGAAGGAGAAAGGAAAAAGGAAGATGGGGATCAATTTGATTCCAAGCCAAAGGCCAGGCAGAACAACTCTGTCTTACAGAGTTATATCAGGCTACTAGGAGCCGTTCATCTGTGTTTTGAGCTCCTAAAATGTAGGACCAGTGTCTTTCTTGAAAGAATGCATATCCTGACAACATGGACTCTCTAAGCAGGACAGCATCTTGAGATGTGTTCAGATGACAGATGCATATTGACAACACAGGACGTCTATTCTGAAGGTGGATTGGATTGATGTCTATTCTCAGCGTGGATTGGCTTGAGATCTGGAAACTGGTGCTGATAGCCCAGGGGAGCATGCTAAGGAATGGTGAGACCCTTTTGAAAGAGAGGCATCTTGGCAGGATCAGAGCAGGAAGGCGCAATGTGTACCGGAGGCAAGACGCAAAGTCACAGCTGGGAAGCCTGCAGGGAGATCAACTATGCCAACTGGAATGACGATTAAGATCAATGCAACTGGAATGAAGATCAGGATGCAAAAAACAAAGCCAAGCTCAGGCGGAGAAAGCAGGAGTCGTGGTACGAGAAGAAAACAGTGTTGACAGCAGAACCGGAGGTAGGGGAACGGTTGTCCTGATCTGGAGCAGATACGACCAAAGCCAGATATCCGGCAAACAAGGAAACTTGTGCTCAGGCAAGAGCTAAAAACCTGAACAGGGAGTAGAGATCAACCAACATCATGAGGGACAAACAAGAGAAACTTGGGGAAGAGATAGCCTGAGGCATAATGCTCCAAATACAGCCTTGCTTTGCCAGCAAACTACAGGATCCTTAGAGCCAGCACCATGCATGAAACGGGGCAACATCCTCTTTGAAGTATCAGCAGCCCTAAGATATATATGTTGAAGTAGTAACATGGGTAACTAGCTATTAAAAGCCAGCTCAAGTTGCAAAAAGATCTGGAAAACAAGGGTGGCTGCAATCCTAACCTAACTCCAATTACCTGGGAGCAAGCCCCACTGAATTCAGCAGGACTTAGTTCTCAGTAGACATGGCTGGTATTGCAGTGTAATTGTGAAACTGCCCAACTAGACAAGAATGAGAGATGGATTCTGTCTAGATTTTAGGCTGAAGATGCATGAAAGTAAAAATAATTTAATTATTCCAGTTTCTAGGCTGCATTTTAGATTTTGTTGAAAATAAAAAAGGGAAGCCTGGCACTTAGGTCTTTTTGTTTGTTTGTTTGTTTGTTTGTTTGTTTGTTTGTTTGTTTACTAGCCTCTGAAAAGTACCTGGTTATTTAATTGTCTGCCTCATCCAAACATCACAGCATCCAGTGTCTGACTTCTTCCAAATTTAGTCATTCACCATGATCCTTATCGGCCCTTATTCTCCAGCTTCAGTCTCAGCTGTTTCCCCATGATTTAATATTTGTTGTGCTTCCAGGAACAGAAAATGGGTTGCAAGGTGCCTTTTTGCTAGCCCATAGAATGCAAATAGCATCCTCTCTCATACAGTCTCTGAAGTTCAAACTGGTGCTGGCCAGAGATCATGGAGTGTTCTTAAAGGAGTTTTCTATTCTGTACTTTTATTTTCCATGGATCTTGCCAAGGCAGAATTGTCTCCAGGACCCCCTCCCATCCATTCCTCTTCTCTCTCTCTCTCTCTCTCTCTCTCTCTCTCTCTCTCTCTCTCCATGCCTGCTTTTAGCCGCTTATTTTCCATATCTAACTTTGGCTCACAGATCTTCATTTCTGTGTTTACTTCTGTGGCTGGCTGTTAATTTTACTGTATGTCTTTGGAGTGTCCAACAGTTGAAGGACATTGAAGAACTGCACTGCTGTCTGTTGGGCATAATTTTATGAGAAATCCAATGTTTACTTACTGCCCATCTTGTGTTGTCTGTGTGGACAGCTGAAAAATGCTAAACCCCAAACTCAACTTACTCTGTGATGGCAGCAGAGAACCAGGTGTGGGAGAACAAATGGAAACTTATTCATGATAAGAAGCAAGTGACGCTGGTCAGGGCATCAGTTAATATGAGGACAGGTGTGCAACCTCTGCTGTTTGGTGTGGCACAGGTCTACAGCCTGGGATGCTCCTTGATCTGGTACTGTTTTGGGATGCTCAGATGTGGGCACTATGATGAGGAATGCCTTTTACCAGCTGGAAGGCCAGCCACAGCCTTTCCTGCAGAAGTTGGGCCTTGCTGCAACCATTTATGTGCTAGTAAGCTCCAAAATGTGCTACAACATGATCAGTGTGTGTGCACACCTGCTCCTGAAAAGCATCTAGAAACTTCAGTTGGTTCAAAACATGCCAGATGGAACTCAAATTCTGGAGATGGAGCTCAATTTCAGATAGAGTTTAAATTTCTCTCAAATTATGTTTGATCTGTATTTGTTACATTTCTCGAGTGAATTCATGGTGCTGGTTCTTACCTCTAAACTTGCCTGGATTGAACTTTATGACCCCTCAAGTCCATTACCACACTCAGGCACTGATGAAGGCCATTCATTGCCTCATCTGACTTGGAGGAAAAATAGAAATAGAGATCTCCAGGTGATCTCTGCCAGTAAGCAGATGGAACAGAACTCTGTGGGGCATCCAAACATAACCGACACTAACTTCTGGAACTGGATATGAGTGCAACCTTTGAGAAACAGTACTTTGAGCACCTGACATTGTCAGGCCTGAATGCCATAATCACCCCCACTACCTATGGCAGCTACCAAAAGGAAAACAGTCTAATGCAGAGGTAGGGTTCACTGACTGAATCTGGCCTCCAAAGCCTTTTAAAATGACCTATCTTGCACAGTGGTATCAGTGGCGGTGGAACAAAATAAATAAAGAAGCAACAGCTAGCTGCCACAGTCTGGTACCTCCAGGGGGCTGGAGAGTTGTTCAAAAGCACTCCAGCATGATTGTGTCTTCGCTCTGCCTGGCTAGTTATGATTGCAGGATTTCTGGGATCTTTGACAGTAATCGGAATCACTCGACACAGTTCTGCGCTCTGCAGAAAAGGTGAGCAGCCTCCTTCTCCTAGCCCTGCTGTGCCTAAACTATGGCTTGCCTGCAAACGAGATTCCAATACCAGAATCAAACACTGGTTTGGAATACTGGTTTGTGGGCAAACGTTCTCTCAATATATATATATTTGGCTTCCAATGGAAAGGACAAACTATGAAATGGGATCCTGGTGGGGGAGCTAGGAGGAGGCAGAGAGTATCCAGAAGCTGTGAAAAGGTCAGCATGAGAGAGTTCCAGAGTCTGATCCTGGCAAGGAGAAGAAAGAGGAAGGGGACAGGAGTGACAGAGGAGAAACACAGAAGAGGCAAAGAAACTGGGATGGTCTTGTTGGGTGAGGAGAAAAATAAGAGGGAAGAAGATGGAGGGAATAGAGAGAAAAGAAGTGAGCTACAAACAGGACTGGGCCAAGTCATTTTGGCACCTGAGGTGAACCACAAAATGGCAACCCCCTTCCCATCAGGGACTTAGGGGTGAGTGAAGATCTGCATCAGGAACGGGGGGAGGGGGAGGGGAGAGAGAATAAAGTTCTATATTGAAATATGCTGCCCCTATGGGTCCTGCTGCCTGAGGCATTTGCCTCACTTTGCCATATGGGTGGGCCGGACCTGGCAACAGGGGGAATTTGTGATCAGTGAGGATGGTTGACTGCAGGCCTCAGTACACCGAAGTCCATAAATACAGGGTAATGCCATCAACTGGCGTCGGTAATCAGGCCTTTAGTGAGGTACGAGCCAGACTTGAGCTTGTCAGATATAGCAACTTATGAAGCTGTCTTGTACTGTGTCAGGCCTCGGGTGAATCTAGCGCAGTATTGTACACCCTGAGTGACAGCAGGGCTCCACAGTTTCTGACAGGGCTCATTTCTAGCCTTTCCTGGAGATGGCAGGGAGTGTACCTGGAACCTTCTGTATCCAAAGCAGATGACCCACCACTGGGCTACATGCTTTCCCATGGCATGTTTCCTCCTTCCCCCACACTATCATTCAAAATCACTATCATTCAGTGGACCTGGAATCCAAACTGTTTCTGCAAGTCGGTGGCAAGACTAAGAAAAACACTCCAACAACAGAAACTCTAAGAGATCAAAATGATGGTTTTTATTTTATTATTTTTTTTAAAAATGGAGGAATGGAGGCCTTTTGGGGGGGATATCTGGGAACAAACAAATGAAGTCACGGGCAGGATTTGAGATAGTGGAAGCAAAATGATAAAGGAATTGTGCCAGAGGGATATTGATAATAGATGAGAATTTGACATATAATGCAGCAGGAAAGTGTTTGAATAAAAAACCACTGCAGAGGTGTTTCAATACATGAAACAATGTAACTAACCTGTAGCTAATTTGTAAAAATTTGGAAACTCAATACTGAAACTCTAAAGGAATGGGGAAGAGCTCAAGCAACAAGAAATCGCCTAAGAATGAAAACCATTTGGAGCAGTACACATAACCGCAGGAGACACCTAGTTTGTAGCTTAATCCACTCCCAGGGCCAATGACTTGAACAATCTTTCAGTGGGAGCGTTCGTTCTGAGACGTGTGATGCAATTTTAAAAGAGAGGGTGCCTCCAGGCTTGCACAGGGAATCTTCTTTATCACTGACCAACTCTGACACGTCTAAGATGAGAGGGAAGAGCGTGATGCACAGGCACATTTGAGCATAAGTGCCGCTCTCAATTAATCCCAAGCAATTATTATTCCTATTTGCGATCTGGATCAATAAAACATCATAAATGCTATGATTTCTACTGGGATAGCCATGTCAGTCTGCTGCAGCAAAACCAACCGAGAGCCTTGCGGCTCCTGACAGACTAACAAATGAATTATGGCGTAAGCTTTCATGGACTACAGTCTAGATTCTTTGTTGCTCGTAAATGTTATGAATGCATCTATGCAAGTGTGCATGTGTGTGTGTGTTGTGTGGTTTCCAGCCACTGAAATGTTAAAGTCCTTTTATTACAAGTTGCATTTCCAGCCACTGAACGGCTGTAAATGTTAAGTGTTTTTACAGTCATTTCTTCCCCAGCTGCTAAGCAGCTTTAAATACTATCAAAAATTTTGCTTTTCCAGCTGTTGAGTCATTTCTGAACAATTTAATGGATTTTTTTTTAACTTGCTCAACCTATTTATATTTTACTCACAAAGCAAGTGCAAAATTACTCTGGCACCTTCCAAGTCTTGTTTTTAGTCTCTGTCTCCTCTCTCTCTCTCTCTCTCTCTCTCTCTCTCTCTCTCTCTCACACACACACACACACACACTGCACACCCAGTCTCTATACTGAATGAAAATTCTGTCCTCATGTGAGAGTTTTTGAAAAGAAAAGAAAACCCCTAAAAATAAACAAGCAATTCTGGATATAATGAATCCAAGATGAACATTCTGAGTTCATCTTAGCATTTTGATACCTCAAACGCATTAGTCTTGTGGTATATTCAATGGAAAGACTGTTGTTGTGGCATGTTCAATGGAAAATGTGTCCTTGTGGTCTTTCCACTGGGAATTTTGTACTTATGGGGTTGTTGTTTTTCCAGGGCAGAGGGGAAGAGCCTTGTGGCAGGAAGAGCTGATTGAACTTTAAAACCAGGGGACGGGGAGAGTCTGGGGTCAGTGTAACTTCAATGGAAGAGACTGTGTAACGAGGCAAATGCTCTATGCGTGTAAGGAGCGAAGACATTAGGCCAAGAAAATGGAAAATTCTTGTGGCCCTCGAGGAACCATCAAGGAGAAGGAAAAAGATCTGGGGCAAAATTGATGGAAATAAGGAGGACCAAACCATGTTATACTGGATACATTCCTTTCGTACTGGCTGCCAGTAACCGATTAGATTAAGGGCATGTCCAGATGGCTCTCATTTTGGGGACCAGGAGAGCTGTTTCCAATGCTCCTGTTCCTTTTAGTCAAGATGTGTAGTGTTGTGACCCACAATGCTCCCCCCTGCAAATAAAATAAATCCACGAAGCTGACACGTACTTGCATGACTGAGGTTTGCCTTGTTGTCCTCCCACACTGAAGCCCTCACCATGGGGATTTCTGCTTTCCCCAAGGCACTTCTGGCACCCTTAGCTGAATTGCTGTCACAGCTGTCATCCAGGAGGAAGCCACCATTGAGATGAGCTTCAAACCTCAACATGTTTGCTCAGAGGAATGGTTGTCACTGAATTTTGCCTAAGGCACAATTCAAACATCTAACGGTGCTTCCTTTGCAGGTGAAACATTTTCAGGAATTTCGAGGGCAGGGACAGATATTTTGGTGAGAGGAGCCAGATTTCATTCCCCACCACTGCAGACATCTAGAGCTAAATGGGATTTCCTTTGAAACAAAATCAAATAAATTCTTGTCCGACTGAGGAATAAAAAATATATACTAGAATCATAAAACCATCAAATTGGAAGGGACCACGAGGGTCATCTGTTCCAGCTCCCTGCAATACAGCAGGAATATTCTGCCCAACATGGGGCTCGAACCCATAAACTGATATAGCTCAGTCGGTACATGAGACTCTTAATCTCAGAGTTGTGGGTTTGAACCCCATGTTGGGCAGAATATTCCAGTTGCATTGCAGGGGGTTGGCCGAGATGAGCCTTGTGGTCCCTTCCAACATTATGATTCTATGACCCTGAGATTAAGGGTCTCATGCTCTACTGACTGAGCTATTCTAATGGAATATTATGGATTATGTCAAATGACAAAAGGGTTGTAATAATAATAATAATAATAATAATAATAATAATAATAATAATAATTTATACCCCGCCCATCTGGCTGGGTTTTCCCAGCCACTCTGGACGGCTTCCAACAAAATATTAAACTACAATAGTCTGCTAAACATTAAAAGCTTCCCTAAACAGGGCTGCCTTCAGATGTCATGGTTGTTATCTTTTCTTGCTAATTAATGGGTTAAATCTATATCTAGCTGAAGATGTCTGCTCTGTGCTTAAGCTATGACATTTGGTGCCAGAAGATGTAGTGATGGCCCCCAACTTGAATGGCTTCATATGAGGATCAGGAACATTATAGGGGGTAAAGCTATCAGTGAGGTAGGGGTGAGGCTATCAATGGCTTACTAGTCATATGGCTGTATATTATTATCAAAGTTATTGGGAGAGGTTCATTGCACTTGCGTCTGGCTTCTGGGCTTCTGTAAGAATCTTTGGGAACAGAAAGCTGGACGAGCTGGATCTTTGGTCTGATCATCCACAGAGAGCTCTCTTTATGTTCTGATCACAGACACCAAAGTGTGCCCTCTTTCATGCAGATCCTCGTAACAATGACTTACTCCACCTAAGCCAGATACAGAATTCTGGGCTAGATAAAACCACCAGTAGTCAGAAATTGCACATGCGGTTTAGCAAAGCTGCATCAAGAGAGGCAGTCACAGGACCTGTTGTTTGCCAATATACAAAGTTTGTTAATATTGTTGCGAGTTTGCATGGGGTTTAGTCTTCATGATGCCTGAGTCCCTTGTAATTATTGGGGTTCTGGATCCAGCAAGGGTTAAAACAGGCATAGGGAAACTCGGCCCAACAGATGTTTTGGGACTACAACTCCCATGATCCCTCGCTAACAGGACCAGTGGTCAGGAATGATGGGAATTGTAGTCCCAAAACATCTGGAGGGCCGAGTTTGCCTATGCCTGGGTTAAAATCTAATGAATGACTATCTTGACTTGATCAACGCCTGGTTGATACATGCAGCAGAATGTTGTGATAAATACAAAAATAGCAAATATTTCTCCAGATACATAGCAGGTAGAATAATGAACTGCATCGCTTTAGGCTGTTAAAGGTAAAGGTACCCCTGACCATTAGGTCCAGTCACGGACGACTCTGGGGTTGTGGCACTCATCTCGCTCTATAGGCCGAGGGAGCTGGCATTTGTCCGCAGACAGCTTCCGGGTCATGTGGCCAGCATGACTAAGCTGCTTCTGCAGCACACGGAAATGCTGTTTACCTTCCCGCTGGAGCGGTACCTATTTATCTACTTGCGCTTGATGTGCTTTCAAACTGCTAAGTTGGCAGAAGCTGGGTCCGAACAACAGGAGCTCACCCCGTCGTGGGGATTCGAACCGCCGACCTTCCGATTGGCAAGCCCTAGGCTCTGTGGTTTAGACCACAGTGCCATCTACGTCCCTCTTTAGGCTGTTAGCACATTGTATTTTTGAATGCTCCTGTACGTGTGTGTGTGTTTAAAAAACTAGATGCCAGGACGATGTTAACGTAGCCTGGTCCCTGAAAAGCTAGCCTTCTCTGTGTGGGAATCTTTATTCAGGGAGAAGGTGCTCCAATAAGAGTGCGTTCACTTCTTGCATCCTGAAGCAGCACAATTTAGTTGCATATCTGCTTCATAGAATCATAGAATTGTAGAACTGGAAGGGAATCCCAGCTCCCTGCAATGGAGGAATCTCAACTAAAGCATCCATGACAGATGGTCACCCAACCTCTGCTTAAAAGACTCCAAGGAAGGAGTGCTTCACTGGAAGTTTGCGTTAACTCGGCTGCTGAGAGCACGGATACTGATCATTAAGGCAAATCTGAGAACAGGGTGGCACATTATTTATATGTGGAAATTCTCAGGTTCAATCCTTGGCATCTTCAGATAAGGAAACTTCAATGGAAAGTCTGGGAAAGATCCCAGGCCTGGGAGCAGTCTAGCATAGACAATATTGAACTAGACAGAGCAAGGATTTTACTCCTTCTAGGGCAGTTTTCTATGTTGAGCTTGATGGCATCCTTAATATAGGTTTTTTTTTTTTTTTTTACTCTAACCTGCAAAAACAGCAATAGATGGGCATGTCCAGTAGAATTATCCATTTTTTAAATGGCAGGGTTTCTACTGCATTAGCTTGGGAGAATTTTCCATCATCTCTCTTGGCCTCGCATTTCGAAAGGTGCCCCCGTATTCCATCTTAAAAGTCCCTTCCTCTTCCCCTCCCCCCGTGCATATTATCCC